TAAACGGAAGAAAGCTGTTAGAGCTGCCTGTAAATATTTGCTAATCTAGCACAGTTAAGCTGAAAACTGTTCAACTCATGGATGTTGGTGTAACTGAATAAGTAGTGCTGACCCTGTGTAAGTACAGGAAACCTGTCTTCAAACTCCTTTATTAAGGACACAAATGAAACAAAAGACTAATCTGGTTTGAGAGTTGTCTTACTGTCTTAGAGACAATCATGCCAATTACTTTTTGACTTTATTCTAAATCTTATCTCCCAGGTAAAATATCAGTATCTAATTTTTGTGGTTTTAGTTTCAGGGCCTGCCTTAGACTGTAGTAACGCTGAGTTTCCTTGGATCTGTTTTAGTAACAAGCAATATTTCACTACAGAACAAGTTTCTTCTCTTGCCTTTCTGTAGGGGTGATCTAACGGCACAATTGCACTTGCTGTGCAGCAGAGTGAAGCTGGCTAGTCTTGTCTTGTGACTGTGTATTAAGCTTGAACAAGTTGAGTATTTGTGGGTTTAGGCTGACTGCCACACAGTTCTAGAGTGGAAAAAAGCAAGTCTTATACACATGCATTCTCTGCATTTGAACTTAAATTGCATGAGTGAATGGGTTTGGAAAGTGAAATCCTGAGGCTCAAGTGACATGTCGGATGCTATTGCAGTCTGCTGTATACAAACACCAACTTCAGATTACTTTGCCTCAATGTTACATTCAGGGAAACTTCTCCAGGTCTGGGCATTATCTTAGTAATTGCTCCAACACCAAAGGTCTCCAACTGACATTGTGCTAAAGTCTGAGTTTGTGTCCTAAGGCTGTTGGTTTTGAAGTAGTTGGAGCAACACTGACTGAGCTTACTGATGTCAAAGTAGCTCTAGTCCAGTATGGGACCTTTCATACAAAGCTTCAGCCTGGAGTGAGCTTTCAAAGAAGTTCCACAAATCCCTCAATTAGGGTTTTTTTCAGGAAACGGACAATCTTGACTGCACCAGTACCAACATTGCTACTTGAATTGATCTTAACTTATAAATGGTCTCCTTTTCTTGATGGGTGTTAACATACCACTAAGGCTTTTCCACTTCTCTGCCATGAATAAGTACGTCTTTTTAGAGGAGTTTTTTTAATTGTTGGTCTCAATTCCAGGTGGATAAACTGGATGCATCAGAGTCTTTGAGAAAGGAAGAGGAGCAAGCTACAGAGACACAACCTATTGTTTATGGTAATGCTTTAGTTTGTGTTGACAGTAACACATTTAGCTTTTACAACAACGCTTCTCTAGTCATGTTTTTTCCCATGGAAGTCCTTGGAAATGGGAACGTTCTTCATGTGAAATCAAGTCTTAAAGGAATGTGTTCCAAAATACTAGATAAAGTAGTAGGAGGAGCTGTACTATTCTGGACCTCCAGCAAGTGCATTATTTGGATCCTGCTCAACACACTTTACTTCTACCTTGGGTATTTCCTTTGTATCCAGGTTATTCTACTAATTCTAGTAAGAGTTACAAATATGAATTCCATCCAGTGATAAAGGAGCCTCCAGTGTATAGCTGACACCTCTAGTCACCACACCCTGAAGCAGTACGATAATTGTGGAATACTAGCCGTAAAGCCACTGGGTGTGATGTTTCAAGACCTAGCTCTGAGTACTAATGTGACAAGTAATCCGATCTACACTGTCTCCAAAGCAAAAATTCTTGTAACGGTTGTCTTTATGCACGCTTAATATTCTTAGTATGTCTGAGTTGCTATTATAAGGCTGAACTAGTCTGGAAACTGTGTCCTGGCCTAACATGCTATTATAACTGCAAACTATTGGGCTGTTGTCTTAAATTGTATCATAAGTAGCTGAAAGTCAGACACTTATCAAAGCTATAATTCTCCAGAAGGAACTATTATATTGTAGTGAACGTGGCTTATGAGCATGTTTGTTTTAGAAGGTGTTTCTGTACTTTAGGACTGCAGGGGTCAAGCCTTTGCATCAGGCTCGCCGTAGCACAGGACTCTGGCCTTAACTGAAGCAGAGTTACTAACGCAATTGGGGCAGGAAATGCTATTCAAAAGCCTAGCCCAGGACTGGCCTTACCGGAAGCAGTTACGAACGCAATTGGGGCAGGAAATG